GTAGACTTTTCTAAAGAACCGAAGAGGCAGGGAGCCCTCTCAGGAAGGTTTCACAGACACACAAGAGACAGCAAGCTGTTTAAACCCCCTATTAGACATTTCTATTCTTCTAAAGTCCCTCAGACCACCCTGACTTGCGGGGGAGTGGGGGGGAGGTGTTCCTTTCCTGGCCCCAGTCTCACTGTCCCCCCTCCACCTCTTTCCCTCTCCGGCCCCTCCCTCTCCAGAGCCTCAGACAAGTTCCTCTCCTTGACTCATTCTCAGAGCCCCCCCCCCCTTTCTGGAGCAGCCTGGGCAGCTGACACTCAGGCCTAGGGATTTCACCTTCTAACTGATCCCATGCATTTTCCCAACAAACACAGTTCCTTTCTAAAATGAAGTTTGGAGCCCTCTGTTAAGAAAATGAAAGTTGTTGGGCGCCTGGGTGGCTCAGTGGGTTAAAGCCTCTGCCTTCGGCTCAGGTCATGGTCCCAGAGTCCTGGGATCGAGGCCGCATCGGGCTCTCTGCTCAGCGGGGAGCCTGCTTCCTCCTCTCTCTGCCTGCCTCTCTGCCTACTTGTGATCTATCTCTTTGTCAAATAAATAAATAAAATCTTAAAAAAAAAAATTAAAGTTGTTTCCGACCTGACTGTAAAGTGCCTGGGATACACATTTGGTAAATAAATTTCCATCCACTCCTTTGCTGCTCTCCATTGTGTAATACAGGGTTGATCGACAGTAATTTCGTCATGACTAAGGTGTTCCTGCTCCTCTCCACATTCCTGTGCTGGCTGAGAGCATACCCTCAAAGAAGATCTCCTGCTGACTGTGTTTTCCACCTACATTAGTGCCTAATACGGGCTCCCCAACTTACTAGCTGTGTGGTCTTATGCAAATTACTTAAACTCTCTGGCCCCAGTTTCTCCAACCATAAAATGAGGTCATAGACTAGCAGATGGACTTCTCAGGAGGACGGCGTTCATTCATTCCTGCAGAGTGCTAAGTATACAGTGAGGGCTCAGTAAATGATAGCTGCTCCCCCCCTTTTTTTCCTTTAAGTCTTTTTCTCCTCAAAGAGTATGACTTCATCAATCTAAAAGATGAACGAGTTTAACTTTTGCACTTGAACAGAGCCAACCTTGAGCTAGAGACTAAAGTGGCAGGGCCAGTGTTCAATTTGGCTCAAGGGCATACCCTGCCAGAAGCCTAGGCCACAGAGGATGGCCAGGCACTAACACAGCTGAAGCCTGCAGTCAGAGATGGAGGGGTTCGAGCGAATAGGATGAAAATACAGTCCAAAGCAGAGTAGCCCAAACTGGGAAAGGTAAGGACTGCTCTTAGTCTAGTTCATTTCTAGGCCAGAGGATTCGGGTCCAAGACTGGAGGGTCCCAGGGCTGGCTAGCTAGCATCATGGTGTCCCAGCTCCCACTAGACCTGTCCTAGATCTGGTGGGAAGCTCTCAAATTTCCCTAGTTTCACAAGGGGACGGGGAGAACTGAGACAACAGGGAGGATGAAGTGTACCCTCTTGTGCCCACAACCCCAAGAATAGACAGACCCCTTGGTTATGTGGCAGGAATGGTCCATACAGTTCAGGCTGTCTGTCGCTCTCAGGGCCACATCTGACTGCTGGGTACCACCTTCCCCCAAAACCTCCACATCCCCGGGAGCCTCTGCACCTCACAGGAACAGACTGGTTGAACTGCTTTTGTTCCAGCCTCTGAAAAAACAGGGGTTAAGAATGGAGTGGGAGAGCTGGGCATAGGCTGAGTGAAAACAATCCCTCCCAAGGTGGGCCTAGGTGAGGGGGAGGAAGAAGGAAGTAGGGAAGTTTTGAGGGGGCGACCAGGCCAGTTGCACAGGGCACATCTTACAGGGAGAGACTAGGTGGGTCTTCCTCTTTGCAGAAAGCAGACTTGTCTGGGTTGGACACAGTGCCGGGGAGAGGAACAGAAGATGGGAGCTCACCTACAGAGCACAAACCTACACATTTAGAGTTGAGTCCCTCCTCCCATGAATACATTATGCATTTGGCTTTGTAATTGCTCCCTGCACAGCTGGGTCTTCTCCCTTGGGTAGCTTTGGGGTCGCGTTCATCCATGCTGCTGTGGCTATATTGGGGTTGAACTGACAAGGAGAGGGCTTGTATGTTTTGACTCTCTACCCGTGGGGGTGACCCCGAAGAAGGGTCTTACATCTTGGAGCGTTACTGTCCCTGCGCCACCCATCAGCCTGGTCCTCTTCGCAGAAGTGTGTGCTTAAAGGAGGAAACAAGGTGGCTAGGTGGCTAGGAGAGCAGAGGACAGTGGGCCCATGAGATGGAAGAACAATCACAAAGAAACAGAAAGGGCCCTGGGGACTTTACTCAGAAGCAGATGACCTGCTGACTCTCTTCTTCCTGGTGGGATCTACCCCCTGCCAGAGAGTTTTACCATCTGGAGGGGCACCCAGGGCTGCAGGACCTCCCTGTCTCTCCCTTGGCCCCGGGGTTTGAGGCCGGGCCCTGCAGGCTGGGGCCTGCACTAGCTCCAGGCCGACCAGAGCCACTGTACCTGCTCCCACTCCATTCTCAACCCTGGTTTTTCAGAGGCTGGAACAAAAGCCGTTCAACCAGCTGCTCCCGTGAGATACAGAAGAGTCAAAGCAGGACTCTTCTCCCAGAGGCTTCTGGCTTGGTGAGAGGGCTGAGCCTTGCTCCTCCCTGAGGTTTTGTTTGGATTCTTTGTTAGTGGTGGTAAGAACAATTAACATGAGAGGTTTAGCAAGTTTTTAAGTTTACACTATATTATTATTGTGCACTGTTGTACAGAGACCTCTGGAGCTTGCTTGTTCGCTGAACTGAAACTCGATGCCATTGATTAGTGATTCCTCAGCCTTTGGCAACCACCATTCCACTCTGATTCTTGAACTTGACTGTTTGAGATACCTCATATAAGTGAAATCATGCACTATTTGTCTTTCTATGACTTGTTTATTTCCCTTAGCACAATGTCCTCAAGGTCCATCCATGTTGTCACCAATTGCAGGATTTCCTTCTTTTTTAAAGGCTGGATAGTATTCAAATATATATATATATATATATATATATATATATATATATATATATATCACATTTTGTTTATCCATTCACCTACCGATGGGCATTTCTGTTATTTCCCCATCTTGGTTATTGTGAATAATATTGCAGTGAGTAGGGGCGCCTGGGTGGCTCAGTGGGTTAAGCCTCTGCCTTCAGTTCAGGTCATGATCCCAGGGTCCTGGGATCAAGCCCCTCATCAGGCTCTCTACTCAGCAGGGAGCCTGCTTCCCCCTCTTCTGTCTGCCTGCTGCTGCTCTGCCTACCTGTGATCTCTCTGTCAAATAAATAAAATCTTAAAAAAAAAAAAAAAGATATTGCAGTGAGTAGAGGACTGCCAACAACATCTCTTCCAGATCCTGAAAACAAACAAGTGGGACTCCATCAAACTAAAAAGCTTGTACAGGGGCGCCCGGGTGGCTCAGTTGGTTAAGCGGCTGCCTTCGGCTCGGGTCATGATTCCAGGGTCCTGGAATTAGGCCCCACATCGGGCTCCCTGCTCAGCAGAGAGCCTGCTTCTCTCTCTCTCCCCCTCTCCCTGCCGCTCTGCTTAGTTGTGCTCTCTCTCTAACTCTCTGTCAAATAAACAAATAAAATATTAAAAAAAAAAAAAAAAGCTTGTACATGGCAAAGGAAACAACGGAGTGGAAAAGCCACCTACAAAATGGGAGAAAATATTGCACACCTTACATCTGATAAGGGGTTAATCTCCAAAATACATAAGGATTTAATTGTGAGGATGTAATTGTTCTCTACAATTTAATTGTGAGAACAAAAACACAAACACAAACTAGGAGCCCAACTGAAAAATGGGCTGAGGACATGAAGAGACATTTCTCCGAAGAAGACACACAGATGGCCAACAACCAGGAAAAGAGGCTCAACATCACACATCATCAGAGAAATGCAAATCAAAAGCACAGTGAGACACCTACCCCTCACACCTGTCAGGATGGCTATCCTATTATTAAAAAAGAAAGAAAAAGATATCAAGATAAGAAGTATTGGTGCGGGTGTGAGAAAGTGGAACCCTTGTGCCCTGTTGGTGGGAATGCAAAATGGAAACCAGTACGGAGGTTCCTCAAAAAATTAAAACTAGAGCTACACCCTCCCCCCCCCATGCAGCGACTCTACTGCTGGGGATTCATCCCAAAGAACTGAAATCAACATCTCAAAGAGATATGAGCACTTCTCTCAAAGTCTTTGTTACCGCGCCCCTGTTGCTTTTATTTTATTTATTTATTTTTAAGGTTTATTTATTTATTTATTTGACAGATAGATCACAAGTAGGCAGAGAGGCAGGCAGACAGAGAGGAGGAAGCAGGCTCCCTGCTGAGCAGAGAGCCCGATGCGGGGCTGGATTCCAGGACCCTGGGATCATGACCTGAGCCGAAGGCAGAGGCTTTAAGCCACTGAGCCACCCAGGCGCCCCCCCACCACCTCGTTGCTTTTAAACCCAACCAAAAAAACCTCACACCCCCGCCGGCTCCCAGGACAAATCCTAGGTTCTGTACCCCACCCCCCATCCCACCGCACCCCACCGCCCCCCACAGCCCCTCGCCCAGACCTGCCCGCCACGGATAACTGAATTTCGCTCCCTGCCGGGGCGTCTCGACCCTGGCCAGAACACGCTTGGGGAAGGCGCCCGCACCCCGCGAGAAGCCGGGGCATGCCTGGCTGGGGGGGGCCATTGGGCCATCGTCAGGCGGCCGCGCTAGCCAGAGCAGCGTGACACGACGATCCGGGGGCGGTGACCCTGGGGGCCGAAACGGGGCGTTGCGCTCCCGGGCGCCCGGCTTCCTGGGCTGTCGCCAGCCCGGCTGGGCGGGCGGAGGCGGGGGCCGGGCGCGGCCTTTTAAGGCCGGGAGGAGTGGCCGGGCCCGAGGGTCAGCCGCGCAAGGCGGGCCACTGTCACAGGCGCCCGGCGCTCCGGTTTGATCCCGTCCCGCGCGCACCCGGCCGCACGGCGCACACTCGCGCTCTGGGACAGCATCCGGCCCTTCTCCGAGAGTCCTCATGGGGCCCGAGGCCGCCTGCCCAGGGAGGGGCCTCCTGTCTGGACTCCAGGTGAGGACCTGGATCGAACCCGTGGTGGCCTCCACGCAGGTGGCCGCCTCGCTCTATGAGGCGGGGCTGCTCCTCGTGGTGAAGGCGTCCTTTGGAGCCGGGGCCTCCTCCAACCACAGCACCAGCCCGTCGCCCCGGGACGCCCTGGAGGACCAGGAGCAGAGGGCCATCTCCAATTTCTACATCGTCTACAACCTCGTGGTGGGCCTGACGCCGCTGCTGTCCGCCTACGGTCTGGGCTGGCTCAGCGACCGCTACCACCGCAAGATCTCCATCTGCGTGTCCCTGCTGGGCTTCCTGCTCTCCCGCCTCGGGCTGCTGCTCAAGGTGCTGCTGGACTGGCCGGTGGAGGTGCTGTACGGGGCGGCGGCGCTAAATGGGCTATGCGGCGGCTTCTCGGCCTTCTGGTCGGGTGTCATGGCCCTGGGCTCCCTGGGCTCCCCTGAGGGTCGCCGCTCTGTGCGCCTCATCCTCATCGACCTGATCATGGGCCTGGCAGGATTCTGCGGGAGCATGGCCTCTGGGCATCTCTTCAAGCAGATGCTTGGGCACTCCGGGCAGGGCCTGGTGCTGACCGCCTGCAGCGTTAGCTGGGCTGCTTTTGCGCTTTTCTACAGCCTCTTGGTCCTGAAGGTCCCTGAGTCGATGGCCAGACCCAGCAGGGCGCTCCCCGTGGTGGACACGGTATCTGGCACGGTTGGCACCTACCGTGCCCTGGATCCCGATCAGTTAGACAAGCAGAGAGTGGTGGGGCACCCTCCGTCCCCTGGGAAGGCACAGCCCCCAAGGACTATCATTGCCCTGCTCTTTGTGGGTGCCATCATATATGACCTGGCTGTGGTGGGCACCGTGGACGTGATGCCCCTTTTCATGCTAAGGGAGCCTCTCAGTTGGAACCAAGTGCAGGTGGGCTATGGCATGGCTGCAGGGTACACCGTCTTCATCACCAGCTTCCTGGGCGTCCTGGTCTTCTCCCGCTGCTTCCAGGACACCACCATGATCATGATTGGTATGGTGTCTTTTGGGTCAGGAGCCCTCCTCTTGGCGTTTGTGAAAGAGACATACATGTTCTACATTGGTGAGTCCGGCTTTCCCGGGGAGGCAGGACAAGGAAAATGTGGACCCCTAGGGTCATGGGGCTGACATGGTGTGGTGTGGTGTGGTGTGGTGTGGCGTGGTGTGGCGTGGCATGGCGTGGCATGGTGTGGTCTAGGTGTCCCAGCTCAGCACCAGGGATGGGACCTACTATCTTAAGAAGGGAGACAGGATTACATGCGGTTGAGTTAATGTAGTTGCACTGTATTGTGTTATCTGTGTTGCCCACTGAAATGTTATCAGGGCCGTGCCCATGGCTCTAGGTCAGAGGAGGGTCAGTCAGTGGTGCCCGCAGTCAGTAGGGAAGGTTTTGGATTGGCCTTAGGAGAAGGGGTTAGATTTTTTCTCTTCAGTTTTAAAGGGACAAAACATTGAAGTAATCAGGCTGGAAAGGTCCCTTCATTAAAATCATTTCAGGCCAAGCATGGGCTGTTTAAAAATGGATAAAAACTCTCCATAAATGCCTTTCACAACCAATGTAATAAATTCTCTCAAAGAAGTAGAATGAAGTTTCTATCTGAGGACCATAGGCAGAGAGCTCTAAATCCAGGCTCTAATAGAACTTTCTACAATGATAGAATTCTTCTAAAATCTGTGCTGTCCAATATGGTAGCCACTGGCCATGTGTGGCTCTTGAGCACTTGGAATGTGGCTAGCACTGCTAAAGAACAGAATTTTAAATTTGATTTTAATTTATTTATATAGTCACTTGTGGCTAGTGGTTGACATATTAGAAAAAAACAACTTTAGAGAGTCACCACAGGCTGTCCCTTGGCTGAGGGCACACATCTCAGAAAACACCTAACAAAATGGCAACTTAGGCCTGGCCAGCTCCCAGTTAGACAGGCTGCATGCAAAGGCCAGAGTACCTGTCTCCCTTCCTACCACCTCTACCTCTCCTTTTCTCTCTCCACACACTCACACACCTAAACACACACCACACTGGGATTATGAATAAGGAAGGAAGGGTGTGTGGCAGCTGTGTAACGTGGCACACATTCCTGGGTGCACTTTGCCAAAGCTCCTGCAACTGTCTCCCAGAGGGGGTCGTGAATGGTGACAGAAGACACCTCTGTCCCGGCAACAAGATGAAGAGTCCTGAGTCACTCAGTGACATCAGCTCCACTTCCCTAGATGCCACTTAAATCTGCCAATGAAGACAGCCTTCACTATCCATCCCCGTGCCAGCTGTGCCTTGCCACCTCGCAAGTGGGTCTGTGGCATCAATGGCACCGTCAGAGCTCAGGGACTCAGCCTGCCTGGGGAGGGGGGCATTAGTCCACTAGCGGAGAAACCACTACATCCAGGGCAAGCCCATGCGGTCTGTGGGGAAAGGGAGATTCCTGGTAAGGCTTTTTGCTTTCTTCTGATTTACTCCTTGGCCAAGGCAGGGCACATTGGGGAGTGTTCTTGTGTGATTTCCTTCCAGCTCGAGCTGTCATGCTGTTCGCGCTCATCCCCATCACAACCATCCGATCAGCAATGTCCAAACTCATAAAGGGCTCCTCTTACGGTACGTTAAAGAAATCTCTCTGAAATTCTCTGCCCAGCCCGTTTCAGAGCTGCTTGGGTTGAAGCACAGGGTTCAGACTTACAGAAGGTCTACGAGAGAATTCCAGAAGCCGCCTTGAATACACTAGGAACACTCTGGGGTCCATCCAGGGCAGAGGGGGTGAAAACTGGAGGATGGGAAAGACTCAGAAAGTCAGTCACTGAAAAGCCACAGTCAGGGGAGGAGGCTACTATCTGTGAGTTGCAGAAAGATCCAGCTGGATAGAGGCAGGAGTCCTGGCGGAGTGAGCCGAGACTGTGAGGGAGTTCTGGGAAGGACGCAGAGCCTCCTGAGAGCTCCCTGGAGACTCAGCTAGTGGGTAACAAGGAAGGGACAGCAGCATATCTTCTTGGTAACCCCTGTCCCTTCCACAGGAAAGGTGTTCGTCATCCTGCAGCTGTCCCTGACTCTGACCGGGGTGGTGACCTCCACGGTGTACAACAAGATCTATCAACTCACCATGGAAAAGTTTGTTGGCACCTGTTTTGCTCTCTCCTCCTTTCTCTCCTTCCTGGCCATCATCCCAATTGGGTAAGACAGGAGCAGTGACTGTGGTTTGGGCTGAGGCCCTGGGGCACATGTCAGGGCCCGCTGGACCCCCTCCAGCCTATTAACATAAAGAATTATTTATTTGCAGCCTCTAGGCAGTGGGTTCTGGGTCAGCTCTCCCACAAAGAAAAAGTCCTCCTGTTCCTCAGGAGGAATCTGGCAATGTGGGAAACCCCCAAAGTCCTGAATAATGAACAGATGGCCACAAGCAGCTGGCATACTTCCTGGCAGTGTGGTAATTCACTTTGTTTATGAAAGACTCATAGACTTCCTTGTAATCAGAGGCTGGGATTAGAAACCCTTGTGAACCACTTCCACCCCTTTTGTTTAGGTCGTTTTATTTATTTATTTATTTATTTATTTTTTAAGATTTTATTTATTTATTTGAGAGAGAATGAGTGAGAGAGAGCATGAGAGAGGAGAAGGTCAGGGGAAGAAGCAGACTCCCCAAGGAGCTGGGAGCCCGATGCGGGACTCGATCCTGGAAGTCCGGGATCATGAACTGAGCCGAAGGCAGTCACTCAACCAACTGAGCCACCCAGGTGCCCTGTTTAGGTCCTTTTAGAGGAGAACCATCCTGCTTCGCTTCTGGGTACTCTTGGCATGCCCTCCAAAGGCTTAACAACTGGCGGCCTCTGGGCTCAGCCACCTCCCCACCTGCCCCGACACTCTCACATGCCCCTGGACTGTCTCATTTGTCAAGTAAGAGCAATAAAGTCAGGAAACTAACAGGCAGGAAGACCACTGGAGAAGCCAAAGAGAGGAACTCCACTCCCAGGGTAAGAGCACCAGCCTCGGACATCACCGAAACAGACCAAAATGGTCTCTGACCAGCCCTCTCTCATGCAAGTCACCAGAGCAAGCCACACTGCAAGCCATATATGCAATTGTCAATTTTCTAGTAATGTTTAAAAATGGTAACAGGTGAAATTAATTTTAGTAACACATTTGATTTGACCCAATATATCCAAAATATCATTCTAACATCTAGTCAATTTACAAAAGTATCAGTGAGTTTTGGTTGTTTTTTGTTTTTTGTTTTTTTAAGTCTTTGAAATCCGGTATGTATGTTATGCTGATGGCACATCTCAGTTTGGACTCCATTTGCACATGTTTCAAGTGCTCGGGGGCCAGTGCAATAGTGGCTACTCCATTAGCCCAGTCTTGGATGGTTTGAAGCCCATTTACCCCTTCTCATTCAGTGAGGTCCTCTCATGCTTGTATCAATCCCACCACAGGAGAAAGGAATACAGTAAATATATCCACACCAAGGGGCAAGGGATTTGATAAGGATTTGCATTTTAGGGGACCTGCCTGGTAGCACAGAGAGCTCTCTGTGTCGGTAATGGTGGCATTACAGACAGCCCAATAGAAACCAATCCAGGGCAAGCTGGAAGAAGCAGGAAGTAGATGGCAGTAAGGCCTTGTGAGAATTCTCACATCATAATATATGTCCCTGCCTACACAGAAGGTTGAGGCTCTTTTTTTTTTTCTTTTAATTTATTTATTTGACACAGAGAGAGAGAACACAAGTAGGGGGAGCAGCAGGCAGACGGAGAGGGAGAAGCAGCCTCCTTGCTGAGTGGGGAGCCCAATGCGGGGCTTGATCCAAGGACTTTGGGATCATGACTTGAGCCAAAGGCAGATGCTCAACCAACCGAGCGACCCAGGCGCGCCAAGGCTGAGCCTCTTGAGCCATCAGTCATGAAGGCTCTTTGCTCTATTTCATGGTTGAGAGAAGAAAGATGTGCCGATCAGAAAAGAAGGAAGGGAGGGGTGGAGGGACAGAGGGACAGCGGGACAGAGGAAGGGACGGAGGAGGGAAGGCCTTTTCCTGGGCCCTATTTTTATGTGAGTCTTGGCTGAATGGGTTGGGCTCAGCTAGACCTTAGCATGCAATGCAAATTTCCCAGCTGTTTGCCCAAGTAAGTGATGGATTAGTAGCTGTGCCACTTGGAAGTCACCCAGCCCTATTTGGGAGATGGGCGAAATAGTCTCATTAACCTAAACAAACAAACAAAGGAAAACAGACCAAAAGAAAACAAGCCTGAGAAGTTAATGTGTGACATAGTTAGAGAGATAAATGGACCAATGAAAGCCATGAGAAAATACAGTAGTTGGTTCCTTTCTACAGTTTCGCTGCTTCTTGTGTGTACTGAGTGGGATCCTGGTCTTGCGTAAGAGACTTTAGGGCACAGGAACAAGGTGGGCTTCTCTCGACCTCTCACCCCAGGACACTTCGTAATGTGTGCTTGGATTTGGTCAGACTTTCCGTGCACGGTGTCTTCCTTAGGCCCTGAAGGGTCTTCGCGATTTTCTATCACAGATGCAGGGACAGGATCTTGAATCCATCAAGTAAGTACCTGAGTGCTTACGTGAATGAGGCACCGAGGTAGTTGATCATTATTTCTCTCTCACAGTCATGTACCAGTAAAGAGACACATGGGAAAATAAAGCCTCATTGGCTATATGCCAGAATCACCTAGAAAGCTTTAAAAGTCACTGATGTGTGGATCCCACCCCCAGAGATTCCAACTCAGTCGATCTGGAGTGCAGCCTGGGCACAGGACTTTTTAAAAGCTCTCCAGATGATTTGAATATACAACCAAGATTGATAACTCTGGTACAAGTGTTTCCATTACCTTTCCCTTCCGTGGAGTCCCTGAATGAACAAGATCTTGAAACATTCTTACAGTTAGAAGAGGCCAAGGCGGTACCATCAATCAAGTGAGAGCACTGGGGAAAAGCAGTAGAACTTTCCAACCACAGAGAGGAAAGCTACATTCTAATGACAGAGAAGCCCAGGAAGGCATGTGAGAGCAGGGAACAAAGGAGGCAGCAGAGGGCAGAATGCTGGAGGAATGGTCCCTGGGCCAGAGCTGCCAACAGCCTGCTTGCCAGAAGGGACTGTGTCCCCGGCCCTTTCTGGTCCCAAAGTGAGTCCATTTCACATTACTGTTGAGAACCGGCCTTCTCCTACTTGCTCTTCTTACGTGCAATTGGGAGATGTTAAAGGAGTAACTGTCTCTGCCCGTCTGTGACCTATTTGCCACTCGATTCTTCTCTGCCCTCCCCACCCTTTTTAAATTAATAGTAACAATAGAAAACATGTAAATAGCCCCTATCATGGGCCAGCTACTACTTAAAATATTGCATATATTTAATGAATTTAATCTTCCCCCAAAGTTCTTGGAGGTCATTACTATTGTTATTTTTGCAAATAAGGAGACAGACACTCTAGGGTGTTCTGTAACTTACCAAATGTCCACAGCCAACAAGTGGCAGAGACAAGGGTTGAACCCACGCAGTCTCTGACCCACCACAGGGCACTGCTTCTTAGAGGAGTCACCAGTGTCAGGGTGCCACCTGTCCCGTCTCCTTAGAGAGCTCCCTCCCCGCGAGAGCGAGCTGCTCTCTCCTGAATGCTTACTGAACTGACATGTGATCTACCACCCAATCTCTCCTCAACCTCCATTGGCTTCATGGTCAGCTTCTGCAAAGGCTGGTGTGCACTTGCTGCGTCCTCATCTCCCACCCATCTGAGGCCCCCCTCGACCACCAGAGCTCTTCTCATTAAGGCCACTAACGACTCCTCAAGGCTAAAGCCACTGGACTCCCTGCAGTCCTCACCCTACATGATTTCCTCACGGTCCCCACACCAATGGTCTCTCTCCACTGTCATTGGACTTTCTCAACACGTTATTGCTTCTTCCCAACAAACCACCACTGAAGATTCTTTAGGGCTCTTCTCTGGGTTCTCTCTTCATATTCTCTAAGCAAACTAAAGTACTTTCAAAACTTCGAATTACCATGTAAGTTTCCAAAATTGGGTTCTTGATGCCTTCCTACGTCTGTTCCCTCTCCAGTCTATCCTACCTCACTAAAAGGCACCACCATTCCCTCAGGAAGAGAAACCCAAGTCACCAATGTCCTCCCTCCTCTCTACCTCCCCTAACTGCTAATCCATCAGACCTCATTGACTCCATCTTCAAAACAGGCCTAGATTTCATTCTCTTTTTATCACTACTGCTACCACCCCAAGGCCTGAGCACTTGAACAATTGGATTAGCCTCTGAACCGTCACCCCCATGTCCACTCTTGTGCCCACCCCATCCTCCCTCCACCAGGTGCCCACAGCAATTTCCTTCAAGTGTTTAAACAGATCATGTCATCTCCTGCTCAAAATTCTGCATTTGGCTTTCATTGCTGTTAGGATACAGCCTGAATGTCTTTCCATGGACCACAAGGCCCCACATAATCTGGGCTTGCCAACTTCCCTGGTGCCTGTTGCTGCTGCTTATCACCCTCCCCAACCCCATGTGTCAGCCCCAGTGGTTGCCCCTTGTGTCCTCCTCCCTTCTGCACCGTGCCTCCTTCTTAACCCAACTGGCTATGGTCTTAACCGATTCTCAACCTAAATTAGGTCCTTCTATCATATGCTCCCAAAGCTTCCTGTACTTTCCTTCATAGCACGACAGCTGATGATTAGTGATTGCCTTTTCATAAGCCTGCCCACTGGATGGTGGGCTGCCTGAGGGCAGGAACCACGGCTTTCTGGCTCAGCATGGATAGTCTGTGTCCAGCAGAGAGCCTGGCATATAAGGAGTACTCAAAAAGGATCTAAGGTATCCTCTGTTGGAAGGGTGTGGCCCCTACTGGCCAGCATGGTGAACCTCCAACCCCCAGAGCTGCCTGTTGGCTGACCTGAAGGCAGGACTGGCCATCCCATCGGGTCTGCGTGGTCAGGTCTCTGCAGGATTCAGCTGGAGTCAGGACTGCAGCCAGGCATTCACGGCATTGTGGGTAGCTGCCTCCACTGCTGGGCTTTCCTGCCGGCTTAGTAATACAATGAGCTTTGTTTCAAGTACGTAAGTGCTTCTCTCTGTGGAGCCCTATGACTTATGGAAGATGGGAAGTCAGAGTTTTGGGAAGAGCTCACAAAGCTCTCCCTTAGAAGGTTTGGATTCTCATTCATATCCCATCCAGCAGCTCCAGGAGCTGGCCATCAGCCAGGAAGAGCTGTGCTCTAACTTAGACTCTGAGGCTCCTAGGGCTCAAACACAGGAAAGTCCGAGGACCCCAGAGGTGGAAGGACAGGCCGAAGGATAGGCTGAAGGACAGGCCAAAGTTCACACAGATCCAAGACTTGGCCTCAGATCTCCTAATTCCTATGCATCCCCTTAGCTACAAATATTTACAAAAATGTGATGAGGATTTGTGGAAGAGATAAAGGGGGGCTATGGAAAGGCAGAAGATGAGATAGCCAATTCTGCTTGGGATTAGCCAGTCTTGACCTTGAAATACAGGTGGGAGGTCATCTGCAGGCAGGAGTGAGATGGAGAGAGATTCTGGGAAAAGGAAAGTGTAGACATAAAGGGCTTGAGATGTCTTAGGACTGGAATGGGCCTGGAGTGGGAGAAGTTTCCTCCCGCCATCGCCCAACTCCAAACAGCCTCCCAGGCATGAGGGACAGAGCCTCTCAGGCGGCTGTTGGTGGGGAGGAAAAGGCAAACCCTTTGCCTCATTCCAATTGTTGGCTTGTGACTCTGGATTGTCAATTCTTACAGCATCGTGGCCTATAAACAAGCCTTGTGGTTGCAATACGGTGACATCACGGAGACATGAAGGGGCTGACCTACGGGAGCTGTGAGGACCAGCAACAGCGGGGCCCCTTTGAAGGCAAAGGAAGGAACTGAGTGCTGGTGACCAAGGCAACCCACCACCGCCAAACCCCAAGTTCGAGCCAGAGTTGGCCTCGGAATGACCTGCTCTGGCTCTGGGGTCCCTGGTGGGTGGGGAACAGCACTTTCTTGGTGATAGAAGAACTTTCTGTTTTCAGATGTCCCTGCTAAACAGAGATTGGGTTCAGGGTGCAGGAGAGTATGAACATTCAAAGGTTATATGTAGGCTGCATACACAGTCATGCCAGATGCACCCAGGGCTTCAGATGGCAGCCCCCTTTCTTTCAGGAGCTGTCACCGGAGCTCCAAGGTATGGCTAACCAGTCACCCAGGTGCTGCGCTGGGAGGCCCACATGAGAACTCCAACCAAAGCAACAGATTTTCAATAGCCTAAGGGGAACACAGAGGGGATGTTTTATAAGAACTCCCAATGTTTTAGGAGATTTGGGGCTCAGGCTCTTGGATTCAGGGGGGTTTTATTGTTGTTGGTACTGTTGCTTTTAAGAAGCGAATATCAAAAGACTTTCTTTAGTGGAATATTATATTGAATATTTCCAGTCAACATTACTCCCTCCAGTGGGTGGTGTGAAGGGAGAGAGGAGAGGAGATGTGCCAAGAGTCATTTTATGTCAAGGTACCTATTTTTATAGCCTATTTTACTTACATAGAGAAAAGCAGACTCACTTCCTAATAAAATGGACATTTATTGTATGTGTGTGAATCATTCTGCTCTAGTCAGGCTCCCTCTATAACTACAGGCATGGCATTCTTATACTGGGGTCAAACTTGAAGCTACAGAATATATTTAAAGCTCCAAGAATTTGGGTTCAGAGAGTCTGCATCTCTGATCCCTTGCAGGGAAAAAATTAAACTTTCTGGCATGTGTCCTGAGGTCCTAGAACCAGGGTCCCAGAACCAGGGTCCTAGAAGCTAGAACCCAAGATATGGCAAGAATGTGATTGTTCCTGTCCCAGAGCCTATGTCTAGCAGGTGCAGCAGATAGAGCCTCCAGGAACAATGTATCCTACGACACATGCTAACCTAAGGAAGCAAATAATCCAGATTTAGGAAAGCAGGGAAGGCTTCTCAGAAGTGGCACATGGTAAGACTGGAAGGATAAGGAGTTACCGAGGCCAGAAGTTAAGGGCCAGTCCAGGCAGAAGGAATCACAGCTGGAAGGCCTGAAGGTGAAAATATCCTGGGATAGAGGAATTCAATATAAGGGGAGTGAGGAGAAAGGGAGGGGGCAGATACCAAAGGAACAGGATCAAGACACGAGACTGGAGAGGTAAGGAGGAACAACACAAATAGAGCCTTTAAAAAAAAAGTTTTTCTTCTAAGTTATGGGGCTAGCTGGTGGAGGATTTCAGGCAGGAGCACGAACTGGGGGAGGAAGGAGCAGAAGGAGTGAGCACTACTTGCAGAAAGGAGGCAAGAGCAGAGATGCAGTAATCCAGGCGACGGATGATGGAGGACTGATGCTGGAGAAGGAGCTACAAGGATCGAGAAAAGTGAGGGACTCAGAGAGATCCTTGGGAGCTAGTAGTCAACGGTAGTGGGGGATGGATGAACCACAGAGGGTGAGGCAGATGGAGGCAAGAATGCTCAGATTCAGGGTTCAGGCAACTAGAAAGAAGGCAGAGCCTCTCACTGAGACAGGCAACATAGATGGAGGAGGGGGGATGGGAAGAGGACTTCAAGGCCACGCTCACCTCTCTAAACTCTCATAGTCATGCTCCTTGCCCTGGACTCCTTCCCTCGTGTCCCAGCCTGATTGGCTCCCCGACCTGGATGAATCTCATTGTTGGCTGCTCCATTCCTGCTCCTGAAAAACTGGCTTGCAACATCCAGAAACATTTCTTTACTTGCCCACTCATCCTTGCTGTGAGCCTGTGGCTTTTATTTATTTTAAAATTTTTATTATGTTATGTTAGTCACCATACAATACCTCGTTAGTTTTTGATGCAGTGTTCCATGATTCATTGTTTGTGTAGAACACCCAGTGCTCCCTGCAATACACGCCCTCCTAATAGCCATCACTGGGCTCATCCATTCCTCCCACCTTCTCCCCTGGAAAATCCTCAGTTTGTTTCTTGGAGTCCACAGTCTCTCATGATTCATCTCCCCCTCTGATTTCCTCCCCTTCACTCTCCCTTTCCTTCTCCTAATGTCCTCCATGTTACACCTTATGTTCCACAAGTAAGCGAAACCATATGATAATTGACTTTCTCTGCTTGACTTATTTCACTCAGCATAATCTCTTCCAGTCTCGTCCACGTTGATAGAAAAGTTGAGTATTCATCCTTTCTGATGGCGGAGTAATATTCCATTGTGTATATATACCATATCTTCTTTATCTATTCATCTGTTGAAGGGCATCTCGGCTCTTTCCACAGTTTGGCTATTGTGTACATTGCTGCTATGAACACTGGGGTACATATGGCCCTTCTTTTCACTACATCTGTATCCTTGGGGTAAATACCCAGTAGTGCAATTGCAGGATCATAGGGTGGCTCTATTTTAAATTTTTTCGGGAATCTCCACACTGTTTTCCAAAGTGGCTGTGCCAACTTGCATTCCTGCCAACAGTGTTAGAGAGTTCCTCTTTCACCACATCCTCTCCAACATTTGTTGTTTCCTGCCTTGTTAATTTTGGCCATTCTAACTGGAATAAGGTGGCATCTCAATGTGCTTTCGATTTGAATTTCCCTGATGGCTAATGATGAACACTTTTTCCTGTGTCTGCTAGCTATTTCTATGTCTTCATTGGAGAAGTGTCTGTTCATGTTTTCTGCCCATTTTTTGACTGAATTATCTGTTTTTTTGGGTGCTGAGCTTGAGAAGTTTTTTATAGATCTCAGATATCACCCCTTGGTCTGTAGTGTTATTTGCGAATATCTTCTTCCATTTGGTACCTTGTGGCTTTAACCAGAGCTGGGCTCTCCAACACAGCAGTTTTTGGACATTTGCCCCAGGTCACCAATTCCTCTAGAGGATATTCTAACCCCTTTGATGTTCTCAAAGTGTTGCTTCTGGACCAGCAGCATTAACACCCCTAAGGAACCTGTTAGAGATACAAATTCTTGGGCTCTACCCAAACCAAACTCTAGAGGTAGAGGGAGGGTCCAACAACTGGTGTTTTTCACAAGCCCCCAAGCTTACGGACCAATATTCTTATCTTTGGGCCATTTTCTCCTTAAGAACTTCGCCCTTGCCCTCCTCCTCCTCTCCCTGCATCCTTAATTCCTGAAGCCCAGAAAGCCCTGCCCTTCGTACTCTCCCCAAGTAACCTAGTCTACTCCCAGGGATACCAGAATATTCCTTCCAACAACTGGCCAACACCTCCACTTAGATTTCCTCAAACAAAAGTCCAAACCAAATTCTTCTCCCTCTCCACCATCTGAGTTCACTCCAACCTTTATATTTTTCTTCTGATTGTTTTCATCTGTCAGTGAATGGCATCACCTCCCAGCTCCCAGGCTGGAAACCACATCATCTCTGAGCCCCTCCCCTCGCCACAGAAATATCTTAAATCCATCTCTATTCCTATCACCTCTTGCCACTTTTATGACCTATTCCTACCTATTCCCTAGGGCTTCAGTCTGACCACAGTCCTCTAGCATACTATCTCCAGCAACTTCTTAAAGCAATTACAAGAAATACATCCCCCCCTTTAATTTTCAACCAACAAAGCAAACAGGAAGGATTATTATGGGACTACTTGATATTTAAGTTGGCCATACTTATACAAATAACAGAAGAGTCTTCCCATAAGAGCTGTCAAATAGTAAGTGCTAGCAGATACTTAGGTGCTTTGCAGACTTTACTGCTAGTCCTATTGGCAACTCTTTTGGGAAAGCAGGTCTTCATTTCAAAGACCAAAATACTAACGTTCAGAGAGATCTGAGATATGATCCCAAACCTCTCTTATCCCACCTTGCCGCCTCATTTTGGTATGACTGCACTCTTGTATTAGTGATGTCTACTGTCAGTTCAAGTCCATTTCTGGTGAACTGCGGTCATTAGGTATAAGATGGACTGAGCATTCTGGTCTCTCTTTGAAACACACTAACACTCTAACAAACCACAGACTATTCTTCTTGCCTTACAGATTAAAAACAAAAACAAAAACAAAAACAAAAACTATCATGGCAGGGGTGCCTGGGTGGCTCAATTGGTTAAGTGTGACTCTTGATTTCAGCTCAGGTCATGAACTCAGGGTCGTGGGATTGAGCCAGCCCTGCCCGCATGCCCATCAATCACCATGGTTACACACAGATAGCAGGTAGTTTCTTCATCTCCCCAACCTGTAAGATGCAGGAGAAGGTAAACTGAGGATAAGTCTATAGGGATGTGAAGAAGAACTAAAATAGTTCAATTGCATATTTTTCCTGTAGCTCTGCATATCCTGATTCCTGCAGGCACACTCCTATCTCTATAGAGAAAATAAGAAAACATAATACAAGGCACACACGTTTTCCTGGTGTACAAAATGGCACAAATGACAACAGGACTCAAGGTAAAGAAAGCATCTTTCATAGGTTTATTGGTCCATTACTTTAAGTTAATTGAGGAAAAGAAACCTCTTAAATTTACAAGCTAATAGTTTATTAAGCAATACAAATTCTTTTGTTTACCTCAAAATGTAATACTAATTTCATAGTAAACAATGGACAGAGTTTTTAATACACAGATATATGAAAAAAGTGGACAAAAACCTCGTGCCAGCATCAAAAATGCAACAAAAACTTTTTTTTTCTTTTTACAATCTCTGGGTTCCATAACAAAGGGGAAAAAAAGGTGACATTCTTTTTAAAGTTTGGTAGCTTCATGAAACAGAGACTTTGACCTGGAAATAAATCACTTTCTCATCTACACACGTTCTTGAGCACTTTTTTTTTTTTCACAGCTTTTGATTTGGCTTATTGGCAGCATGGAGAGAAGAGAAAAACATTTATACAGAGGACTTTATCAATACCTTGGTTGGGGGGTTCTGTTAAATTTTTAAATGTAAAGAATGATTTCTAAAAATAAGAAATACAGTCCATCCTTTGGACATGACCTAATAAGCAAAAGTTTTGAATCTCTTTTTCAACAGTTAAAATACAAGTTAGAAAGTTTGCTGGCAGTTTATTGTGTGGGAAGATATCAGGTGGACATCAGCTCTCAATGCATTCCCAACGTACAGACACCAAGGGGATCAAGCACACGGATGTACAATGGACAGGGCGTCTACTGGACAGGACCAAAACCTCAGGAGTGTCCCGGTGAATGGTGCTGACTGTGAAGAGCTGCTGGTTTGTTGTTCCACGAAAGCCCAGCTGACACACGTGTCCTTGGATCACACCGATCCACCTTTTGTTTGCAACCTCCTCTCCCTTCCCGGTTTCCACACTGGGGAAACAGCCATCCCCCTTTCATCCTTCCAGTACCACTGTGACTGCAGGGCTGGTCTGAGACTGTGAACCACCTGTCAAGCAGAGGTGTGGACAGGTGTCACCTGCTTTGACCTGGCCCACAGGGAGCCCGGGATCACCTGGGGAGGGAGGCGGCACAGTTGGGGGGAGAGTGTGTGTGTGTGTAATACTCAGTCACTGGTGTTCATGGGGAAAGCTCTGCAGAAACGGACTAACGTACGTGAGGCGACACAGTAGGGCTTAGGTTTTTGGCATTTCAACCTGTGGAGAATTTCTATCTGAAACACACTGATCTGAGGCCCTCCCCCCACCCCCACCCACCTGTTTCCCGGTTATCTTTTTAAAAGCTGTTCTGCAGAATTGGGGTAAACCATTAATACTGTCACAATCTAGAGTTCTTTGTGTCTCTGTGATTTGTCGATGCCAGATACCATATATCCTCTACAATCAAGAGGGTGCCAAAAGGCACTGAGTTCATCTTTCACACTTTAAAACAAACAAATGAACAAACAAAATGGTTTAGTGGTCCCTGTGTCTCCTTACATTATCAAAAATATCATTTGGCAATAGCAACACTTAGCTTTCTCTTCCCAAAAGGCAGCCCTATTTATGAACCTCACTTTCTTCTTAAGGAGGGCTGAGGATGGGCTATGTTAGGCCTCTAGTATTAAGCTCAACAACCAATTATGTGTCTAAAAACTCCTTCTACCCAGAATCTAAAACACATGAGTTGAAGAATAAGGCATATGAAAAGGTGCTGACCATTCTCAAAAAGCAGTTAGGCTTTCAGCAATCTGTGGCATTTTTAAAAGTCTGGGTTTGTTGATTTTCCAGTGCTAACTACAAAGAATGTTTCTGACTCAAATACCTTATTGGTTTTCTTAAAGTTATTTTTTCCAAAGCACGCACTTACAGGCTATCTAGAGTAATAAAAACTACCCAGATGACATATTTTTGCTGCCACACAGAAAGGGTTGGACAGTCATATCCAGAATGCATTTCAAACACACATGATTAAGGGACAACAGTCCAACTCCCTGCGACAACAGGCCATCCTCTGCCTTTTCTTATGCGGACAGCCCTGCGCACATTCTCATCTGGGCAGCTGGAGGGAGACCATCCTTAAAACAGAAAGCTAACCACCTACTGGGTGAACTGATGAAAAGAATCAGGTTTTTGGTTTATTTGTTAAATCCAAAAAACACGAGGAAGCGGAAAACTCCAACACACCCAGCTCTATAGGTCCGTCGGGCGCAGGGGATGACATTTTCCTTAAATCTACAGACAAATGCCACCTGCCATCTGAATGGAGCAAACATAAGAGGGCCTGTCCCATCTGTCACCATCTTGAGAACTCCTGAAAGTGAGAAGGCAAACCCAAATTCCCAAAACATCCTGCAAGCGGGGATCACCAAAGCAATTGTTACTCCAGCCTTACAAGACTGCCCAGCTTCCATGGGCCTTTCGAGCAGGTGTCTGGGAAGGCAGGCGGCAGGCCTGCTGTGCCGGGCCCTGACCACAGGTGGCCCACCTTCTGGGCAGAGGCATTCTTTAGGGCAGCCAGAGGAGAATCCAGTTCTAACCTATTCGGAGACCCACAGACATGAGGCTGATACGGACCTGGGGGGCTGTGGTGGGTCCCACTCTCCAGCCCTCTCTCGGGACAGAGTCTAAAGAAGAACTACTCTCATTCCAATGAATGGTTTCAGAACAAAGCCAGGGCCTGGATTTCAGTGCTGTGGACAGCAGGGCCCAGGCCCTCGGACTCTGGATGTATCCTGGGCTGACACTGGCCGTCCCAAGAGAGAAACCCCACTTGCATATGCCCACCCAGCTACCACACCCTCTTCTCAAGCAGGACTTCCTACCATTTCAACACAAAGGTGGCCTCACGAGAGTATTCAAAGACCTTGCGAGGAAGGTGACTGAAAAAATACTTAATTCCACAACATGCAGCACACACACTCCAGTTGTGGCTGACATTTGGCATGAAGACAAAGTTCCATGACATTCACCACGAACCCCTGGAGTTGGATCTGTTACTGTTACTCACCTAAAGACAGGTGTCTGGGGAGTTCAATGAGTGGCACAGTGATACGAGCCAATCCTTTCCATAATTGCACTTAACTGAGGTCACCGGGAATCATTACTAAGTCTTAGAGGACAAAACCCAACCCCAAACTTGGCTGTGTAACATGTTCCCTCCTCGTTCGGGAAGAACTCGGTTCTTTGCATTGGGCAGAGTAGCCTAGAATCTTCTTGTGGATCCAGCACAGGAGAAGGCGGCCAGGGTCCACGCCTGCCATGAAGCACACTTGCCCGCTTCAACACCTGCCTCTCCAACACTGCTCCGTGTCTGGGAATCCTCTTTTCTGCCTGAGCCTGGATTTTTAACCTGGGTGAACGAACCTTTCACTTCCCACATACGAGGGACAGTGGACAGGGATCACTTTCCATTCTGTGGCCATGTGCTCAAGATTCAAAACCTGTCCCAGTCTGTCTGCCTGAGGTCAAGCGTGTCCTCGAGCAAAAGCCCCCTGGACAGAAATCTGAGAGAGGAGGCAGCGAGCTCTGCCCGACGACTGTGGAGCCATGCAGGATGGGGAGAGGAAGCCTCTAGGAGGCAGTCTTTGGCACGGAAATCTCCGAGTCACTTTTCACAGGGAATCACCTTTGTGCCCACCAGGAGGAAGGGGCAAATGCCCCGGACCGGTGACCCGCGGGGGCTGAGGGAGCCTCCCTCATGCCCACCATGCCTTCTATCTAGACCAGCCTCCTCACCTCATCTGACGGCAACCTGAAGAGGAAGGGGCGAGGGTCCCTTCTCGGGGAACAAGAGTCTCTGCAGGGAAGTCTGTACTGTGCACTGGTTCTCCCAGCTCAGCTGTCAATGCTCCTGCTCTCCCTGGTGTCTTAACGCACAGAAACATCATAAGGGGCACGAAGAGAGAAAGACAAATCCCAGGATGCCTGCTTCCCCCCTGAGCTCGTCTTCTGCCTCCAGTGGGGTAAGGAATGACTGTGTTTCCCCCACTCCCTTCCCGTGCATCCCAGCGAGGAACCCAATGACTTTTTTGAACGGCTGCCTTCCTTCCCAACTAACCTTTACACAGGAATGCTCCCGGGCTTTGGCAACTAAGTGGCAGGTGAGGTTCTGGTCTTCCAGCAACTCTTTCCCCTGTTCTTTCCAAGCACTCGTTGTGCTGGACAACATTTTTAAAGCACACATTCCACAAGGCAAGGCCTGGCACGTTCCTGCAGATGAGCACCTGCTGCTAAGGTCAGTCTAGTGCCTTCCATGAAATAGCAAGAGAGGGCCCTCGACCCTTCATTAGATACACAACCCTGTTCTACCAGCAAAATGTCAGGCTGGACCCAGACATCCAGACCTGCACTAACGTGACGGTGTAGAGGTAGTGTGAAACACTGACTCGCCACTCTGGGTAGAGAGCCCGTCCTTACCGTTCTGCTTCAAGGGATCACTTCTAACTGTACCAAACTGAAAATCCGCACTGCAGGCTTTTGGGATGCCACGAGTGGGTCTGACAGCGCAGGCAAGTACCAAATGATATGAGGCTTCTCATTTTAAACTGTGACTTATTTGAACACGATGAAACAGAACTGAACGGTTCTGTGCCATTCTTCTGCCAGGCCACTGATGTCACTACGGCAGCTGTCCAAGGTCAACGTGGCAGGTGGACGTGGGACGGAGCACTGAGCACACGCTGCACAGAGCTCCGGATCTGCAGGTTGGCCAGCATCTGCGCCAACGTCTCAACACAGCTTGCCTCTATGAGGCTCACACTTAGACTTTTGGAGGGGTTTGAGCCACAGAACACAACGGGACCTAGGCAGCTTCATTTCAGGAGGAAACAAAATGAGTTGGAAGATAGATCCTCTGGTTGTAGTGTGAAGTGAAGATGGGAGACGCCACCGGCAGTCCCCAGGAGCTTGGCTCCTCGAACGGAGGAGAGTCTAGCTTATCCAGAAGCAAAGACATCTCTGTTACGCTAGTCCTCTCCAAGTCCCATCCGGTTACGGACTTCTATTCCTGACTGGGGACATCATCAAGGGTTAAAGCACTTCATGTAGAACATTCACGTTGAGTTTACAAAATCTTGACCGTGTCACGACAGCGCTAATGGCCTCTCAGCAAAAGTCTGCCCAAACATTCAGTGGACGCGGCAGGGAACACTAAATGGGGAATTTCGGGTGAGGTGAAGGCAGATGGCACGGGGCAGGTGTGGGAATGAGGCCTGGCGTGAACCTGCCAATCCCCACTACCGGGGAGCTGCTCAGACTTCCGGCCACACGGATTCCCCACGACGGGCCTAATCTCTACTCTGACGGCATTTTACAAGCCAAAAAACAACACTGAAGAACTTCACAGAGAAAAATGCACCTTTTTTTTTTTTCCATCTTACACAAAACCAAGTTTCCGATCTACTGCATTCTAGTGTGAGAAACAAGTCTGGGGAGCACAGCCCCCCTCGGCTTCCCAAGGTGTTGTGCAAGGCCAAGGATGCCAGCTTGCTCACTTCAGCACAGACGTGCACGGACGCTGACGGAGACCGTCCTGAGGGACCCGGGAGCCACAAAACAGCTGTCGCTCATCACGAGTGGCTGGCAGGCCATGCTCACAGCTACAGGCCACGGTCCATTAGGGAAGGGCTTTCCACGGAGCTGCCAATGCTTCCACCTCAGCTGTGATGAGTCAGTAGCCCACAGGGTCCATCCTGGAGTCACCCTGTGTCCACAGAACACAGGGGCTGCCTTCTGTTCACGCCTTCCTCGTGTCCTCGAAAAGCAAGAGCCGGGCTCTCTCCCAGCAGAGGCAACGCTGCGGGCCCCCCAGACAGGAGCCTCCATGATGAGATGTCGGAATGTCAGCCAGGCCGGCCCAGCCCTTGGCTGTACGTCTTCTCAGCTGTTCCATTTCGTCGGCTCCTTTGAGCCATGGAGGTAAGCTGCTTCCGCTGAGGGATGACGCCAGCCCTGCGGACTCCACCAAGGAATAAATACTAATGGAAAACCAGCGGTGGACGAACAGGGAGAGGCGGGCAGGGGAAGAAATACACAAAGGAGAGATGCTTCTGTGGCTGTTTTCTCAGTGCCGGGCCTCTGGCATGACAGGGGCGTTCTGGGACGCCATGCCCTGTGTAGGTCGAAGAGTCTCTGTCCCAGGAGGGAACTTACTTGGCCTCTTGCTTCTCCTGCAGTAGTGGAATGATCGACTCCCACGCCGTGAGGCACTGCAATGACAACACACACAGACACTGTATCAGCATCAGCCTTCAGAACCAGGTGCTTTATTCTCTGTTCATCTCACCAGGTTACTCTGCCTTCGGTACTGGCTAAGGAACGTACATATGCCATGTCCGACGTCTACATGTACTATCCATTGCTATTAGAAACTGGGGCGGGTGACAGGTGTCTGCTTTGAATACGACATCCCCATCTCTACGGAAGACAGCAGGGTCTCTGCAAGGCCTATGTGCAGTGTCCCTAGAGCTCACAGCTGCTGAGCGGAAATGTTCTCACTGGAAGACAGTCTTTTCCTTCCAAAAGCAGAAAAGGTAATAGGCTCCAAGCCTTCCATGCGGTCTGCCATCCTCAGCCAGGTTGAAGACATTGCTCCAGGTGTGGGTAGGACTGACTTGCGGAGGACGCAAATCATACGGGCACAGCCCAGCTGCCTGACTCAGAGCGGGTGGAAACCCCGCTCCTTACTGATCTGTTTTGATTGTATGGGCCACTCCTGGATCCCAAAAGGGAAAATGGCAGCTGGGGGTGGGGGGGACTCTATTCATTGAGTTTCGTTGGGTCCAAATGCCAGGATGTGTTTTACATTCACTACTGCTGGTCCTAACAATTCTATGAAGTAGAAGTATTACTTATTATAACACACACACACACACACTTCATAGATGGAGAAAATGAGACCCAGAGAGGTTATATAACTTGCCTAAGATACGTAGCTAGAAAGTGACAGAGCTGGTAAGTGGCAAAAAAATATATATTCTTTTCCCTACACCAATCCCCCTTCATTCCAGATCCTTGTGAAGGCCCAGTGTCTGTATGCCCTGAACTTAGAGACGGACACTCTCCTCTAGGAGCACCCTCCTCTAGGAGCACCCTACTTAATGAAATGGTCCTCCCTTCAAGCCATCTCTTGCACGAAGGGCAGGCCAGAAGAACCACACAAGGCCTTCCTAGCAGCTTAGGGTGAAGCAGGTCTTTGCAGTGAGTCATCTGGGGAGGAGCTCTGAGCAGGCAGGAGGAGAGAGGCATTCTTTGGTCAAGCTGGGGAGCAGGGTGGCGAAACTGCTCCATACTTCCTTCCTTAGTGACTCTGAGGTTGGGGAAGAAACTAGACTTGGACCCTGCCCTCCATAACAAAGGCTGGGAAGCTTCTAGGAGCTTGCTTGCATGGAGAGAACCCATGCAGGGTCCATGGCACCCTGGGCCCTGCTTTGTCCCTAGGCCATCATCTCAGATCTAGAAAGGCCCTTCTATGTCAGCGATGGGGAACCAAGGCCACGTCAGATTTCTTTCCAGTCTTCAAATGCTCAAACTTCTTCCCACCCCAAGACCCTTGCATATGTGTTCCCTTGGCCTGGGATACTTTTTCTCCAAGTCTTTGTCTCTGGGACCCAGGTTAAACGTTGTTTCCTCAGATTGGCCTTTCCTGCCCACTCCACTTGCCTCCTTCCATCCCTGACCTGAACTGTGCCCCTGGTATTTTCGCCCCAGGTTTCCCGTGCTTTCCCTCTAGAGCATGAATCTTACTCTGAAGTGACAGGATTTCTGGGTTAACGTGTATCTGCCACTGCGTGGAGGGTTCCTTAATGGCAGGAGTCCTGCTGTTTTGTTTAGCAGCCTATCCCCAGGCCCTGGTGCACGGCAGGGACACAGCAGGTAATGTTCAATGTATGTGGCAGCCAAGATGAGGCCCCTGAGACAAGGCCCCTATTCGTGGTATCTGGGAAGACATAAGCTCTGGGTCTGAGTTCTGGGGCCGGGGCCTTGGGAGTGCTGGGATCAATCATGGGGAGAAGCGATGGACACATCCCACCACGTGGGCTTCCAAGTAGTGGGAGGGTTGTTGGACAGCAGAGAGAAGGGGAGGGGATCAGGGAAGGTAGTACCACTTACAGACTATCTACTGAGTGGCACGTATGGTCTAGGGACTCAGGGATGCATCGTTTCACTGTGTCTTCACAATCCATTTTACGGGGAAGAGGCAGACACAGAGAGCCGCTCTGCTTAAGGCACAGCCAGTGAAGGAATGAAGCCTTGGTTTTGCACAGAGGGATCTCTCTATCTTTGGGGGAGTCATGACTGGCCCCAAAGATGCACGTCCCCTGCCAACTACACCAACAATGTATGTGAGTGGGAGCTTTCAGACTTGTGGCCCCAGCAGAACCCAGTCTGACCCTAGTTCAGTCACTCAAACTGTGTCACCTGGGGCAGTCTTAAAAACTTAATGAGCCTCTGTTTCTTTAGCTTCATATGGACAGTCAGAAAACCTTCTTCACAATATATGGGAGGGGGTTAAATTTAAGGACGTGACATATGCATAGCATCTAGCTTAGGGTCAGCAGACACAGCAGGGGCTCTACAGAAATGGTCCTAGGGAACAGAGGCCGGCACCCTCCCCTCTCCCTCTCGAACAGTCCTTCCGAAGGCCTGGCCACTAACGGCTATTCCGTGGCTGTTCTCCCTAGCTCTCCTCCAAAGAAAGATGTAGACACGAAGCCTTCAGAAGATATGGATTCTTCTAGCCTGGGATGAGGACATGTTTCTGGAATTGCAGTGGGACTAGCTGAGTTAATGTTTATCCCACATGGTTTCACGTCTACAGGTACTTATGGAATTGTGACTGGGCCATGTTTCATCTCTCACTTTAGGTTTTCAAGGAATCTTAGGATTTCTTAGCAGAAATGATCTGGGTTTAGCTAGGCCAGGAGCAAAACCTGATTGAGGAGACTTTGCTGAAGTTTGATGAGCGCCCTCCGTGGGTTGTGTGTGTGCATGTGTGTGTGTGTGTGTGTGTGTGTGTGTGAGAGAGAGAGAGAGAGAGAGAGAGAGACAAGACAGGGGTACAACTCTACGAATCAAAGGGATTCATGGGAAAAAAAAACCCTGTTTTTAAAGTTTTCCTTTGTAATCCTACATACTTTTGGGGGAGCTATTTACAAACAGTATTTTGAAGTCTTAAAAACAACCGAACAGTATTTTGATAAGGATTCAGCGGGTTCTATGGCACTACGAGAGTGAGGAACCCCCGTATGTAGAACCACACAGCAGCCTGGGGTTACCGCAAAGCCTCCTTACCTGGAACAAGTCCACAGGCAAGTTCTCGGACTCTGGGAAGCAGCTGGCTGCCAGGCCCAAAGGGCACGGCAGAGAAAAGTGCCACTTCCACAAGTCCCATGGGCACCGGGAGGGGGAGGGGCTCTGCTTCCAAACCCAGCACCCCAGCTTGCACAGCGGGGGCAGCCTCCCCCACAACCCGACCTGCACAGTGAGGGGCAAGGACCATGTGGGCGGTCACTAAGGCCAGACACACAAAATCAGGGAAGCAGGTGGGGCTGGCTGGCCCTCGCGAAAGGCTCCTGCTACTCCTAGGGCTTCCTCCACGGGAGGGCTGGGGTCTTGCCAGCACGCTCTGTACCTTCTCATAATACTGGATGTTCTTGTCCGCCATTCCCATGAGCAGCTGCCGGAAGTCCTGCCTCTTGTTGTTCTGCCATCGCTCCATGTCGGCTTTCAGGTCTGCATTGAAACACTCCATCCGGTCCTGACATTTCTCAACGTCTGCGGGCACCTGGGAGGGGGGAGCAGAAAGGGGGACTCGGGATGTGGAACTGGCGACCCCATGCCTTGAGCTCCCTTGTGAAAGGCCAAATCCCTACATGCAATGCCGTGAACACAGGCCCTCCACGGGGGGCATTTAACTGAAGGAAGGGCCTTGGGTTTTCAGGACTAAAGAGGAATTCTGAAAAGTGCTATCCTGACCCAACTCTCCAAACCCACCCAAGCACAACAGAGACTCATGGGGGAAACACCTCCCTGTTTACAAACAGGGAGAGGAAACCCTGCAGTTCAGAGTCATAGACGTTTGGTTCCTCCTTTTTCCCCATCTGTATGTAAAAATGTGTGTAAATTCTGCAAACATACAGCAGCATTTGGCATTGCCCCTGCCATTCTCCTCAGTCCTATAAGTGAAACCAGAAAAGGTTTCCCCACATCACAGGAACTACTCCATCACCTGTGACGTTTGATAACAGCTACCATCATTAATCACACAATTAACTACACACATAAGACTATCAGCCCACTTCTTCCTCTGAACCCCACATCACAAATCAACTTGAGACCCATTTACACAACCCCAGATTGCAGATAATCAAAAATGATGAGTTTAGGTTAGGGAATTCTGAGGAAATGGGAGGAAAATCATTTATGTGTGTCAAAAGAATCTGAAATACGAAGATGAGGAAAAATACAGTGGGCTATTTCAAGTTTTTCTTTTCTTTTTAAGATTTTATTTATTTGACACAGAGAGAGTGAGAGAGAGAGAGCAGAAGCAGGGGGAGCAGTGAGCAGAGGGAGAAGCAGACTCTCTGCTGAGCAAGGAGTCTGACATGGGGCTTGATCCCAGGACCCTGAGATCATGACCTGAGCCGAAGGCAGACGCTTCACCAACTAACCCATCCAAGTGCCCCTCAAGTTTTTCCTAAAGAAGTTTAGAAGACTTTCTCAAAATGGAGCTCTGTCACAGTCAGAGGACCTTATGGCTTACCTGGGTCCCCAGAGCACAAAGCTGGCTCCTCTCCTCACTCAAGAGCTCCACGGGGCCCTGCAGGTGCCCCAGGGGTGGACAAGCCTAAAACCGGGTCAAACACCCACATGCCAGGTGCTTCAAGACAACAAATGAGGACTTGAGTGTTCTGAGTGCCAGCATCTATGATCACAAATGGCTTCAAGCCATGGGTCGCCATCAGGGGTCAATCTCTACCCACCAGGAAAGTTCTCTCCCCAGGCCTCATGGGTAAGGGGAGGACCCAGAGAACCCAATAAAGGGAGAGCCAAGGCTGTGGGAGCCTGACATGTTTGGGGCTTCCAGAAGGGCCGAGGGCCCCCAGGCCCCGTGCAGACGGCTGCAGGATGCAGAGCAAGGGAAGTGAGCAGCCTGGGGCTGGGGCGTCACAGGCCTGGCATGGGATCTGAAATTGGGTGAGGCAGGAGGAGCTGGACAGAAAGCCAGAGGGAGGCATCCTGGGCAATTTTTAAAAAAGGAACTTTCCTTCAAAGAGGGAGGAAAGCCTTTTCCAAAGCACCTAGCCTCTGGAAGAAGAAAGAGGACCTGACTTTTTCTCTTGACGTCATGACCGCAGTCACTTTTGCCTTCCCCCGCTGCCTCACCCATCGCTGTTGTCCAACTCAGGGGAAACTGAAGAACCGGTGCAGCCCCACCCATCCCCGCCCTCACCCCTCCAGAGCCTTCCCCACAAACATGCAGGGAACCAGCCTCCGTGGAGGCCCAGTGAGCCGGTATCTCTGGGCCTCACTCTCCTGCAGACACAGTCCAGCTCCCTTAATCCTCTCCCAGCAGCTGCTCATTTTAGCACCGGGTGAAAGTTCCCTGGAGCAACTTCCCTTTTGCTTAACAAAACCGCTGTGGCCAGCAGGAAAAGCAAAGCTCTGAAAAGAGAACTGCATCAAGGCCCAGGGAGAAGAGGAAGGCCAGGGCCTGTGATCCAAAGGGTCCAACTCCTGGGTTTGTTCTGAAGATGGGAACTCTGGGGGACCCACAAAAATGAAGAGTCCAAACCACAGCCCTGGATTTTATGATGGCCGGAGCCTCCCCTGGGGAAACGTCGGTAACCCATGATCTTCACACCGCAGTCTGTGCTTGGCACAGAGGGAGACCGCGGGGCTTCGGGGTCAGGAGGCCGGTCTTATCTCAGGCTGCTGACAATCTAGCTGGGAAGGAAGTGAGCAGGGCTGCGCGCTCGGGGGAGAGGGTACCGGTACTCTTGCCTCACTCTGAGCCCCGCGGTAAGCACGCGGCGGGGGAGCTGGAGGGCGAGTCCAGCTTGGAGAAGGGATCGCGCCTCCTGAAGAAAGACCACTCAGGCCTCGGTGCCTGAGTGCCTCGGTCAGTTGGGTGTCTGACTCTTGATTTCAGCTCAAGTTGTGATCTCAGGGTCGTGAGATCAAGCCCCGGGTCGGGCTCCGTACTGAGCACAGAGTCTGCTTGAGGTTCTCTCTCTCCTTCTGCCCCTCCCCCTGCTCTTGCACACGTGCTCTTATGCTCTAAAATAAATACATCCTTAAAAAAAAATAAAAGAAACACCACTGAGGCAACCGACAGGGGGAGGGCTCTCTGGAGTGACAGCACATGCAAGTGAGAGAGGAGAGGCTGTATCCAGACCCACCTCAGGAATCCTCACAGGCTACAGTGCCCACAGAGGACAGACAGAGAATCCCCGCTGGCAAGATGTTGGGGGGCTGAGGGAGGCAGTAAGGAGATGAGAAGCCTGGGTTCCTGAGTCCAGGTTTTCTCAGTTCCACTTAACATGTGCCCCCCTTTTGGAAATTAGAAAAGCCTGTGCTTCCTATAACTATACAGAAAGCTCTAGAGCCAGATTTCCAGAGTTGAAATACCACATCTATAACTACCTCAATGGGTGACCTGGGGCCTCTCTAGGCTGCAGCTTCCATTTCTGGATAACACCAACCACCTCATAAGGTTGTTATGAGGTTAAACAAGATATTATGTATAAAATATTTGGTGTCTGGCATAGATTAAATGCTTCACAAATATTTCAACATTTCAATCAGCATCAATATTATAAACTGCTGTTCATAAAAGATAATCTGCCACGTGCACAGCACACCCCAGTCAAGAACAAATGTTATGAACTTCATTCCGTGTCATATAAAAAGGTTTTTTTTCCCAAATATAAAATATTATTAAATATGTTCATTCAAGCTCTCCACCACCCTTCACCCAGGCTACCTCACCCCGAGATTTCACCAGAGATCAGAGATGAGTCAAGACCAAAATATATTGGCATGAGATCACCCGGGCACCGTGGAACCGGGGCGGTGGCTCTAACAGCATGAGGCAGAGGACAGACCAGGCCAGGCTGGTGGAGACAGTCCTGACAGATGTGGCAATGAGCTGCACATGAGAAATAAGATACAGGAAGTCAGAGGGGAGCCCGAAGTCTGTAGTCTGGGTGGCCAGAGGGGCAGCAGCACATCAGAGGGCTCAGGATAAAGGGTGGGTGCACAGACCAGAGAAAGGGGCCTGCTATAGCCATGGGAAGGGGGAGTCCCCCTCCACAGAAGAGACAGAGACAACTCAACAGCAACCTGATTTAATTTAAGTAAAGGATTTGAACAGACGTTTATGCAGAGAAGATCTACGAATGGCCAGTGGGCATAGGAAAAGGTGCTCCCTGTCACCAATCACTAGGGAAATGCAATTCAAAACCCCAGTGAGAACCACTGCACATCCATGAAGATGGCTAACGACAATGACGATGCAACAACAACAAAATAACAACAAAGGAAGAAGCGACTCAAGTGTCTGTCCACGGATGGACGGGTAAACAAAAATGGGTATGTACATACGGTGGAGTATAATTCAGCCTTCAAGAGGAAGGAAATGCTGACACAAGCTACAACACAAATGAACCTTGAGGACATCAGGCTAAGTGAAATAAGGCAGTTACCAAAGGATAAATATTACATGATTCTACTTATAAGAGGTAGTAAAGTAGTCAGACCTACAGAGACAGAAAGCGCAACAGTGGTTTCCAGGGGCCTGGGAGAGGGGAAATGGGGATGTGTTTCATGGCTACAGTCTCAGTTCCTCAAGATGAAAAGAGTTTTGGAGCTCCATTGCACAACACTGTGGATTTACTTAACACTACTGAACTGTACGCTTAAGAACAGTTAAGACAGTAATTTTGGTTATGTGTGTTCTGCCATGATTCAAAATTTTTTAATATATGGGGAAATCACAGAGGAGGTTGGGGATGGTGGTTGAAGGTTAGAATTCATGGAGAAGCCTAAACGTGTAGGGTTAGTACGGGGATCAGCAGAGGTGACTCAGAAAGATGAGCACAGAAGCAGGAAGTGAGTCAGGGTAGGTGGAGCCACAGAAACACGTGGACAGAGTGGTTAGGAGGAGGAGAGGGGGAAGGGCTAAAAGGAGATGAAGAGGAAGTGGGAACTGGGATGAGCCTTCCAAAGAGACCAGCCGAAGATTCCCAACTTAATGAAGAGGAAGGTGACTGGCATTCTTCTCATTTTTGTCTCTTTCTGGATGGTATCCTTGTGACAATAGGTTCACTGACCAGGAACATCCAGCTTCGCTCAGCTCAATGTTTTAATTTTTTGACCGAGGTGTCGTTAGAGTTGTGGTATCTTGTGTCTGAAGGATGTTGAGATAGAATTACTCAATGCTAGGCTATCGCTTATCACAAGACACCAATAAGAAACTACCAGGTGGGCCCTCAAAAGACAACATTTCTAAATAGAGACAAGGTTGTATTTTCCACAATGGCTCCCTTCTCTCTCATGAGAATTTCCATTACAGAATATGGGTTGTTGGAGCGATGGGAGAAGGGTAATGTGGGATGAGCTTAAGCATTTTTGTATGTTGGGGAGCAGGGTGGGAAGCAAATTCGTTCAATGCTCATTTAAAAAATGAGCTCTCCCATGTACCAGGCATTTCTAGGCCCTACAATATAAATACCTAAATTTCTTTCTTGGAGTTAGGCTGGAGTTATCACATTATCTGCTCCC